GATGGAGCAGCCATTTCTGCAAAAATCCAGGCCGAGTCATTCCAACCTGCAGCCCTCAGGTGACACCGCTGCCCAGCGCCGGGAGCTCTGCCTGGGGGCACCCCCCCCTCGGCGTGGGGCTCCAGCTCCTCCTGGGCTAGACGAGCCACCCCGACCCCCACGCAGGGCGGTGTGTGGGGGCACAACAGCACTTTTCTTTCTTTTTTAAAAATGCAGATTGATTTCAGAGAGGAAAGTAATGACCAGGAATCGAACTGTGACCTCCTGGTTCATAGGTCGACGCTCACCCACTGAGCCACACTGGTTGGCACTTTTCTGGGGCACAGCCCCCGTGGGCCCCACTGGCAACGGGATCCACCTGCTGTGGGCGCTGCCTGGAGAGGAGTCCGTGTCTAGGAGGGGAGGTTAGAGACTCCCAGGAAGTGATGGAGGCTGGGAGGGGAGGCCGGGAAGGTACACCTTCGCCCAAACTCCCCCGATGTCCCGGAGCCACACAACACAGGCTCTTAGCGGGGAAGGAGGGACGTCAGTGCTTCCGGTGACAGGTCCAAGAACCCAGAGTAGGTGTGAGGAACAAGGACGCTCACAGATTCAGAGAGAAGAGAAGGGGAAGGAAGGAGCCGGGAAGGGGGTGAGCTCGCTAGAGGCGCCATGGCAACGGGCCGTCCACCTACCCCGGCCGCCCACCCGCAGCCGGATTCTTCGCTGACGTCCCTGAGCACAAGCTGGCTCCTACCAGCGCAGGAAGGTGAGCGGAGCGCGAGCTCATTAAGTCCCTCCGGCGTCGCCCGCTCGCCCGCCCGCCCGCCTGCTGCCGACACCGAGCAGGGAGATATAAATAGAAGTTATGTAACGGCTCTTTGTTGACGCCTGTGCCTACCCCAGACGCGCATGACCTTGTTTTCCTCCGAGGCGCTTCCCCGGCCGCAGCTGAGGGTGTGAAGTGCAGGGTGCAGGCTCCTGAGCCACGGGCACTCGGCACTCAGGGTGACAGCCGTCGGGAACCCTCAGGGTCAAGTCCTCCTCGGGGCTAAAATAATCTACTCTCGCCCTCACCGCTGGGTTGGCTGAATGGATAGAGCCTCAGCCTGTAGACTGAAGGGGTCCTGGGTTCGATTCCCGGTCAGGGCACACGCCTGGGTTGCGGGCTCGATCCCCCCCAGTGTGGGGTGTGCAGGAGGCAGCCAATCCATGATTCTCTCATCACTGAAGTTTCTACCTCTCTCTCCCTCTCCCTTCCTCTCTGAAATCAATAAAAACTTATTAAAAAATACATCACAGCAGCTAAACCAGACTCTGCTGGGTCAAAACAGCTCAGAGCACGACCCCAGCGCGGGATGCTGTGACCTCATCCCTCTCTCACCGGGTGGTGGCCAACACAGCAACGCACACACCCAGTGGGACCAGAGCCCGTGGAACCCCGTCCGGTCAGTTCCTCGGCACCCCGGCCGCTCTGGACTGAGCCCCGCCAGCCCGTGCCTCAGCCGCTCCTACTCGTCCTCTCCACGGGACC